TAATTCACTTAAATGCCCTTTAAATGCCCTGAGAAATGCTTTTATCTATAATATCTTTAACAGCTTTTTATTTGTTTTGGTATAATGCTTTTAATAGGCTTTCCAATAAAGTTACTGCATTGACTAATTACCTGAAGCATTTTTTTTATCAGCTGCTTTTTTGCAGTTTTGTACAGATGAAGTGATTAAAAATGTTGATATTGAATGTCAATAATGACTAACTTTGTTCCATTTTTGCCTAGCTTTTTTGACGAATTATTTCAACAATTGATTCGCGAAATTTCTTTGGGAGTTACAAACATCTAACTTCCTCAGAAATCATTATTTGAATGTTAATAAATTCATACTTGCCCTCTCTAAAGAAGTAAAAAAATTATTAATTTCTAAAAATTATGTGGTACGGGATACTTCGACATTGCGAGATCTCGTATTACAATATCGTGCCTCGCTTCGTGTCTCATCGGAATGTCGCGTCTCGCCCGATTCTGAGTTGCGCCGATTTTCAATTTATGCATGGCATTACCTGGATAAAATTTCAGGAACTCATGCAAACGTTGAAAGTGCTTTTTCCAAAGCCGGATCTGAAAGCTGCAATTCTTCGGAAAAAGGCGATTTTTATACATATATTTCTGAATGAAAAACAAAAATACGTGTGTAATTGTCTTCTAAATTTTCTTCCATAGACCATTTAAAGGGCCTCCGTGGCCGAGTGATTACAAAAAATCACTTACCCCTAAACGCTGTAGTTCGACACATACTGTTACTCACGGGGCGTCGAATTATTCCATACGAGGATCCCGGTCAGGGCCAAAATGCGGAATACCTATCCACGCGCGCTTGTAATAGTAATTAACTATTACTATCCCTTCGAACGTAATAGCTATTTCGTGCGCACGTAAATATATCGCGTGGCAACGTAAAAGTTATTGTGTGCGCACGTAATAATTAAGTCCCCTTTTATCCAACCGTACATACTTAGAATATTTCTTCTATAGTGCCATAAAAAGGTCATTTATAAAACTTTAAGCATTGAAAATAAACGTGGTCACAATTAATAACGATAAAGAATAGACTTGCTACATATATGTTTAGGTTCTATGATACTGGAATCTTTTTTGGATATTTTTATTGTGACATGCAGAACAGGGATATTCTTTAATTTAATATATGACTCTATGCAGAGACAGGAAGTTTTTGACTGACGCGGAAGTGACCTACAAACGGTATTATAAATACAGAAATTAACAGAACAATGGCTGGTAGCCGGTATAGCGTACGGGCATAATTATTACCTTGTTAGAATTTTATGGAACAATGTGAGACAAATATGCTACGAGTGTCCTTTCTAATTGTGTGTCGAACACATCTGTCTCATTTCCAATTTGGCACAAAATGAATGTTTCACGAGCACATCGGTCACACTTTGTGAGACAAATGTGTTCCGAGACAAGTGTGTCTCCTACAATGCCTCCAGTTATAGTCAGTCTTGATTGCTCGAGAGTATAATGTAGATGTAAATATGGCGACTAACCAGCTTTATTTGTTCAGCAAAGACCTGATGTGGTTCTCCATGCCCTATTTCACGATCGAACTCGTGCCTGGAAACATAAAAGAATACATGTATATAGAAACAATCTGTTTCAGTGATGTAATTGAAGCACTTGGTGAAAACCGTTGAAAAAAAAAGTCAAGCGCGTTTGTATGTGCATTTCTTTTTTTTTTTGGGGGGGGGGGAGTGGGGGTTGTGTGGGTGGTGGTGGTGGTGGTGATGTCTTCGATTTTAACTTATAACAATCAGCAAACGAAGCCTTACTAAAACATAATAATCTTTTTAATGAAACAATGGTCATATCGGAATCAAAGTTAGGAGATTCAAAGGTTTAACGAAAAACATATTTAAATATATTATGTATTTTCGTACAAGATAAATTAGGGTCAACAAGGTAACAAAGTTTCTCACATTTTAATTTGTACTGAAAAAACTTTAAACCTTTCGTCCATTTCCCTCTTGCGTAATATGTGTTTATTATATGACTTGTCAAATTGTCTATCAAATAAAAACAATCTTAAGCTCTCCTTGGTTATTGGTACAATCTTAGGACAGATAGGTCAACAGGTTAATTCAAAAAACAAAAATTTTAATGATCATTCAAAAAGGTCCAAAAAAGTTTACAAAAATATTAAAAAGACAATTAAAATGACCGTTTCATTTAAAATACTTTTAATCAGATTTGTATACAGCCAAAAAAAGGGCTGAAAAAAAAGGTTCAAAGATAATTGAATCAAAAATTAACATTTGGCTTAATCGTTTTGATAAACTGTTTTTCAGAATTGTTCTTTTTATTAACAATCATTTTGTCCTTACTGACTTATAGATTTTTAAAGTTGACATCATACGTTAATTTAATACCTTTATTCCTTTTGAACAAAGACACAACTTGAAACACTAAAACAAGAGTTTGCCCACTTTGATAAATCTGTCTAGCTTTGTTGCTAAAATTTTTTAAACCCCATTATGGCCTCATAGAGCTATTTTGCTATTCCTCAGCTTTACAGATTTTGGTGTCAAAAAAAAAAATTATTGCCCAGAAAATTTTTTGCTTCTGTCTTTATTAACCAATCAGCTACATATTTGTTAATATTTGATATGGAAGTCAAAATGCTACTTTGTTATTATTTTTCAAATTATTTCTTATTCAATGCAGGCTATGCATTAAAATGCTCTAAACCATTTTTTAAAGGTGATAAATTTGATTTTCCTCTTTTAAAGAAGGTAGATATTAATTTCTATGCATTTAAAACGTACGCAACGAGATAATAAAAGTAATAGATAAATCTTGATTTTTCTGTCTACAGAAAAAATGATTATTTCTGCTCAGTAAACGTTTCTTGTTTACATAAGATTCTTAAATGGATAAAGTGCAAACAATAAGGTCACGAATTGAAAAGTTTATTTCGGTATAAATGGGTTAACTAAGATCGTTTGTATTAAGTCTGCGATGTGAACATATGGATCTTATCAAATGTGTCATGTCTAACTTATATCTGTATTTAGATCTGAACTTAATTGTGATAAAATGTACTAAAATGTAAATGTGACCAACTATAAATACGAACCTCATTTTGAGAACGAGTATAAATTGTCTTACTAAGCCGGCGACCAAGAGGAACAACATCATGCTCAGGGTTCTCATAGCTTGTCTTGTCTGTGTTTAATATGTTATGGTAACGTATTTTATGTTTACTTTTCATTTAATAAAATTGATATAGGGTATTTTAAGTCACGCTAGAATCATATGAAATGTATGCTTTTATTTTCTTATACAAAGTAAAGGCACACTTAATGTCTTAGAAACAAATAAATATTTTTTTTTTAGAAAAGGGAAACTGAGTTTTTTATAACTGTTTCAATAATGGTTAAGAGTACGTTAGATGCTTGTTAGCTGACAAAGTAGCACTTAATGTGACATGATTTGTCATAAATAAAGCAAAATGTAAACAAAGTTGTATTTTGGCTTCCATACAAAATACTAAAATTTATATAACTTTCCAAATTTTCCAAAGAAAACAACAAAAGAAAAAGATGGTACTATTTACTGACCAATAGTTACTTTTTACGAACAATAGAAGTACCCAAAAATAAGCAGTTTAAGGGCGTAATGGGCCTTTAAATAATATTATGTGTTTTTATCACATTGAATTGAATGAGTTAACAATCATATACTTAGCCGAGTTTTGTCTTCATGCGATAGTGATCTTATTTGTTAGTCGGAAATGTATAAATTGATTCATACATTAAAAACTTAAACGAATTGGATCAACTTGAACAAAAAAGTTTCATTTCAAAACTTTTAAATTTATTTTTGTACATTCATTGTAACCAAATAATTTTTTCGCTTTCAAAAAGGGGGAATCAACATCAAGTTAAAATTGAGCAGTAACCATTTTTTGTCTCCCTCTTTTGCGGGACTTTTAAGTCGAAAATTAACTTTGGGGCTTTACAAAATCAAACTGATGTATTTTTTAAAAATGCCACACGATAAAAAAGGCCCAATAATAGTGATTTGATTTCATTTAAATTTGATAAGCTATAAGGTCGGGGGTACCCGAAATTTTGATAGTTAAAATGCAATTTGTGTAATATGTATAGATAAAACATGGTTCGTTTTAGTGTATGACAACAACAACAAAGTCCTCACCTAGGTTATAACCACAATCACACACATCATAACCATTCGCATCATAACACCAAAACACGACGAGGGAGCCTCCAGCGAGGGAATCTTTTCACGTTTATCTACGAACTCACTCGTAAGTGGTTGTTTTGCTCAAACGATAAACGTTACTAATGTTACTACAAATAATAAAATTTCTAAAATAGCTATCATTTTTATATTTAAATGCTTTTTTGACAACGACATAGATTGCATGGACACTTAACATGATTCAAAACCCCCATCCCTGACAATACAATAAATAATTAAATTTTAAATGTATATCTAAAAATTTGATAAACTTAAAAAATATATTTTCAGGCAAATGATGGTTGTAGTTAGCGCGCCAAGGAATGTTCGTATTTGCATTAAGTGACAGTGAAAAGTCGGCTATCCACACAGACGCTGGTATACGGGCAGTAGAGGTAAGCTTTATTTGTCTTTTTGAAACTGACATAAAATGTTTGTTATTGCCGGGTCTTTTTGTCATATATTTTTGGTTCAAAACTGATTTTTTCTTCGATCATTGTTTTGTATATTTGTTAATACATAATCATATTTTCTATATAATAATAATAATAATAATAATAATAATAATAATAATAATAATTCTTTTGAAGATTTTTTTATTCCTTTCGTTGTAGTATAGTTTCAGATATCTCCCATAACCAAAAGTGTTGCGTTTTGAGCCTATTCTTTTCTAATTTATTACAGCTACGTTTACTGAGTGCTTTAAGTACCTCAGCTGTGACAACTACAACCAGCGATCAACTGGATCCTAAGGCAGCACATGCATGTGGCAGACATGCAACGACATTCTACAAGGAATCCAGTTCATAATTCTATAAGATTGTACATGTACAAGAATAAAAATAAATGATAATTAAATGTTGTCATTTTTAGTTGTTAATTGATAGACAGAAGAACAATGGCTTGTTTGACTTCAAACAGAAGTAAGAGAAATCAGGACAACGGTTTGTTGCATTAAGAAGGATGATAATGTTAAATAATACATGCAACCCTACTATACCATCGTCCGTATCGTGAACCAAATTTTTCATAAAAATCCGTATTTTGAATGAAATTATCAGATAATTCAGTTCAAATTCAAGATTTTGTCGGATCGAAAGGAACTGTTATTTCTACAAATGAAGTACAATGTATCTAGAAATTGTTCGAAATATATAAGTCTAATTCTATTATGTTAGGAATAAACATTTAAGGCACATGTTGTGCCATAGCATATTTCTTTGAGTTAACTGTACATGTATTTATTTTGTGATTTAATAATGCTCACAACACTATTCATGAAAATAAGATTTAAAATATTGTTCAACATAATTTATCACACAGATTCCATTTTTAATGATTTACAGACTTTCTATCATGATAATATGTCAGTATTTTAAAATACTTAGAAGTATTCTCAGCCAATATACAACTTCTTATATCAAGTTCATTTGCAACACCTCAACTGTCATTTACATATTTTGAAATAGAACCTTGAATATAAAATAAACGTTTAAAGAAAAATATGTAAACTATAGCGAAAGATATAATTATCTGTGTTTGTCTGTACCAAAATATTTGTAAAGAATAGAAAATATAAAATCCTACAATTTATGGGGAATGATTATATAGTAAAGTAACATGGACATACGATACATGATACATGATCGTTTACTTTACCTTACACTGATTTACGATGATCATTAATTGCAGTTTTACACTGCTATTATGTCAAGCTCGTCTTTTATATAAGAAACTATATTTTATCTAGCCCTTCATTTAAAACAAAACTCATAAAAATCATACCCTAACTGTCGCTCCACTACCCTTCGCTAGGTATTCGCTGGTTTACTGTTATACATAGGCTGGTTTACTGTAATACATAGGCTGGTTTACTGTAATACATAGGCTGTTTTACTGTTATACATATGCTGGTTTACTGTAATACATAGGCTGGTTTACTGTAATACATAGGCTGGTTTACTGTAATACATAGGCTGTTTTACTGTAATACATATGCTGGTTTACTGTAATACATAGGCTGGTTTACTGTAATACATAGGCTAATTTATTGTAATACATAGGCTGGTTTACTGTAATACATAGGCTGGTTTACTGTGATACATATGCTGGTTTACTGTAATACATAGGCTGTTTTACTGTAATACATAGGCTGGTTTACTGTAATACATAGGCTAATTTACTGTAATACATAGGATGATTTACTGTAATACATAGGCTTGTTTACTGTAATACAAAGGCTGTTTTACTGTAATACATAGGATTGTTTATTGTAATACATAGGCTTGTTATGCAATAAAAAGGCTTTCTTACTGTTATACATAGGCTGGTTTACTCTAATACATAGGCTGTTTTACTGTTATACATAGGCTTGTTTACTATAATACATAGGCTGGTTTACTGTAATAAATAGGCTGTTTTACTGTAATACATAGGCTGGTTTACTGTAATACATAGGCTGTTTTACTGTAATACATGCTGGTTTACTGTAATACATAGGCTGTTTTACTGTGATACATAGGCTGGTTTACTGTAATACATAGGATGGTTTACTGTTATACATAGGCTGTTTTTTCCCGTAATACATAGGCTTGTTTACTGTAAAACATAGGCTAATTTACTGTAATACAAAGGCTTTTTTACTTTTATACATAGGCTGGTTTACTGTAATACATAGGCTAATTTACTGTAATAAAAAGGCTTTCTTACTGTTATACATAGGCTGGTTTACTCTAATACATAGGCTGTTTTACTGTTATACATAGGCTTGTTTACTATAATACATAGGCTGGTTTACTGTAATACATAGGCTGTTTTACTGTAATACATAGGCTGGTTTACTGTAATACATAGGCTGTTTTACTGTAATACATAGGCTGGTTTACTGTAATACATAGGCTGTTTTACTGTGATACATAGGCTGGTTTACTGTAATACATAGGATGGTTTACTGTTATACATAGGCTGTTTTTTCCCGTAATACATAGGCTTGTTTACTGTAAAACATAGGCTAATTTACTGTAATACAAAGGCTTTTTTACTTTTATACATAGGCTGGTTAATTGTAATACATAGGCTGTTTTACTGTTAAACATAGGCTGGTTAACTTTAATAAATAGGCTGGTTTACTTTAATACATAGGCTGGTTGACTGTAATACGTAGGCTGTTTTACTGTAATACATATGCTGGTTTACTGTAATACATAGGCTGGTTTACTGTAATACATAGGCTGTTTTACTGTTATACATAGGCTGGTTTACTGTAATACATAGGCTGGTTTACTGTAATACATAGGCTGTTTTACTGTTATATATAGGCTGGTTTACTGTAATACATAGGCTGTTTTACTGTACATATTACATAGGCTTGTTTACTGTAATACATAGGTTGTTTTACTGTACATAATACATAGGCTGTTTTACTGTAATACATAGGCTGTTTTACTGTACATAATACAAGAGTTTCAAGAGTTTATTTCAAAGTACATTTGGGCAATATGCCCATACATACACAGTACATATAACAAAGCATACAATACAATCAAATGGTCAATGTCACACTTAACATATATCATTAAGTTACACAGTATTTTTAGCAATCAGAAAACGTAAACTATAGATAGAATATACTATCAACATGTCTCAATTCATATACTGGTAAATAAATACTAAGGACAGATACCATCCTATTAATATGGAAGTAAATCACAAAACAAAACGAAAATAAGTGTATTTAAGAAACAGTGATACAGCGTTTGGGACAAACTTTTAATTAACTGTAAAGAATAGTGTTTCGAACATCGAAAGCTTTAAATATATACATTGATAAGTTTCTAATTTCTATTTCATTTTCTGAATTCATCAATGTAACAAATTTAGGTATATTTGGTCTTTTCCAAAAGTGTTTTTTTTATATATTTTTTTTCGTAATTCATTATATAAAGAACATTCTAAAATAAAGTGAAATTCATCTTCCAAAATAAAACAATTTTTACATTTCCTATCATCAAAAGGTATAGCACTAGGTTAGGCTGGTTTACTGTAAATAGTATCACTCGGATATGTCAAAAGGCATATCATGGGATTTATGAATACATCTAAGATCAAGACTGATTGCAAAATTGAAGCTTGTCCTCTATGATAGTACTTTCCGAATAAAGTGTAACCTGTGTAGATAAGGTTAAATTTAGCATTGCATTACATAATCAAACGTGACTGTATTATCACAGAACAAGATATGTTGTTGTGTGTATCAGGGACAACTAATACAGGCACAGGCAACTGAAGGTTTAATTCCGGTATAGCAATCGGAACTTCAATGTACCCTAAAATATCTAAAGATTGCCCATTTGCAACTGAAATGTCTAAATTAATATTGGAATCTGTCAAATTTAACAGTGGCGGTCTATTTGACAATGACAAATAAATGAGTTTGATACTGTTGAAACCATTGAACCAGTATCAACTAGAGCTATGGCTGAAATACCATTAAATAAAATATTGGCCGTATTGGAACATCCAATAATTCTATTAACCAGCGATTGCTTCTCAATAACCGCCTGTGATTGGCCAACAACAGAGGCGGACCCTAGTTTGGATAAACCGCAGAAGATCCCTGTTGCGCAGCAACATGGCCCTGTTGATTTATACCCTTACTACGACCACGCCAACTGCGATTGGTATTGTTAGATGTGTAATGAGATGTTGCTTGAGGTGGTGTTTCATGTTTGAATGTATCTACTGGTGGGGGTGGTGGTGGTGGTGGAGTATAAAAACACTGAGAAAGAGGATTAGGTTGTGGAGAAAATGATAAGGAATCCACCTTTTGTAAAATAATATGCAATCTTCTATCAATACAAGACTGTAAACCTCGTAGCTGTTCAGAGAAACGCTGTTCAATACCCTTAAGTGAACATTGAACATAAGAGATTGATGCTATCTTCTTAAGAGAAATGTCATATTTAGGTGATAAAAAGGCTATCATTTCTTCTTCTGAAAACAAGTACCTTTTCTCACTTGACTCCATGGCTGAAAAAAAAAATGAAAAAAAAAATGAACAGAGAGAAAAAATATAGACCCTCCGATTGAGTGGACAGATGAAAATAAAGTCAATAAATAAAATAAACAGAAAATAAAAAAAAAATAAAAGAAAGAAATAAGTGTACAAAGAAAAAGACACTGAAGCGGAAATCTGGGGTAAAATAGACCAGGGAAATACACCTAACTTATGGTGAAAAACCAATAAGTTTATTTTAAATAACCCTCAATAATCAAATTTATTGATGTATTCACAAACAATATGAAAAGTAAGTATAAATGCTTTTATCTATATTATAACTCTTACCAGAATTGTTTTTAATTCAATACACCTTTAAAAAAATAATAAAAGGTAACTGTATTTTACCCAGTACTAACTGTACCAATATAAGTACCTTATATAATAATACGAGTGACTTCTCTCGTCTTTCTATCAAAGATGGTGTTCCATATCGTACAACAACTTGTTATTCCTTATTCTCATAGGAATATTGCTTTTACTGGTGTTCATGACAATGTAGGCCATCCCGACAGTGATAAATCTCTATGGTTAGCTCGTCAACGTTTTTATTGGCCTGGAATGGAGGTAGATTTTTACAGTCGCATTTCAGGTTGCAAAAGTTGTATTTGCAGAAAGAAACCGGTTGTACCTGCTGCAGAATTGGTTCCAATCCAGACTTCAAGACCCATGCAACTTGTGTGTATGGATTTCTTGAAGCTGGAGAAGTTCAAAGGAGGGTATGTGGACGTCTTGGTCATTACCGACCATTTTACCAGATACGTCAAGGCTATTCCTTGCCGTGATCAAAAGGCGACTACCACTGC